CTCATAGTTGCCAACAAAGAACCAAAATTTGTTTCACCAAAGAGACTACTAACACTCAAAAGACCAAACCAGAGCATTCAAATAGTTGTAAACAGAATGGTATCCAAATAGAAATAGTAAAAGCACAAATCTTGAAACAGACGACGATTAAAAGCAAAAATTCCACAATTTTTTTTTCAACAAGGAAGAAAGGCATCAGTCCAAGTAACTGACTTAACTGAAAATGAACCATCTGGAGCAGGGCTCCAAATAAATTTGCCCTCAAGACGACAGAACAAGAATATAGGCCACAAAAGTATACTTGAGGAGAATAATGGCCTTCTTTATACTAAGATTGTTTGTTAACTTGTATTATTACACTTGAAACAGTAGATCATATGACTAGATTGTCTCATGTATCAAATTCAAACTTTTAATGACTTTTATAGAGTTTAAAGTGGAGGTATTCAATTTAGATTTTTAAAGAGTTAATAAAAGTCTAGTGGTATTCAATTGTGACTTTTAAAAAGTAGTTAAAAGTATTGGTATCCAGTTGTGACTTTTAAAAAGCTTATTAAATGAATGACTTTTCCATACTTTTTAAAGGCTAATTGTTAAGACAAAAGTCTTGCCAATTTCCTAGTAACTTTTAACAACTCTATGAAAGTATTTAAGAATTTGTCAACTCTATGAAAGTCACTCACTTAAAAAAAAATCTTTATAAGTATGGATTGAATATACCCCTTAGTTTTAATTGATTAAAGTATAAGTTTCCCTCCAATCGACAAGAGATTGTCTTCCTACCTCGAACACTTATCTTTTGCTAATTGGCATTAACCACACCAATTAATTCCCTTATAAGTACTGGAGTTCTTTAGTGAGAATATTTTGGCCCCGTTTGGTTAATGGGAAAAGAGGCTTGGGATGGAAAATCAATTGCTTTTCCATGTTTGGTAAGTCCAAGCATGAAAAATGGTTGCCTTGCTCATGGGAAAGTACGGGGGAAAGTGAAAACCTCCTCCCAACTTGGGTTTTGTTTTCCCTCTTCATGGGAAAGTTTGGAAAAATAAGCTAATATTAAATGCACATTTTTCATGACCATTGTGTCCTCATTAACAATTTAGAATTACAATATATCATTAAATGCTTTCTTTTTTTATTTAATTTAATATGGGTATAACTAAAAAATTATACAAATATTGTTTTCCATTCCTACTCAAAACAAATATGGGAAAAGAAATAAAGTGATATCTCTCAATTACTTTCCTGGTATTGCCAAACATGGGAAATGAATCTTCCATTTTCCATCCCTTGGAAAATGACATGGGAAGTGATTTCCCCTCAAATTTGTTAGGTGAACCAAACGGAGTAATTTCTTAAAGAAACACTACTTAGAGCATCTCCAAGGGAGATGTCAAATACCAAACATCAAATTTAAATTTGACGGCTGATGTGGCAATTTGACATTTACACAGTTTTACACTCCACCCGATATGTCAAACAAATAATTATTGTAACAGTCAAATCATTTAAGATAAAGAAGAAAAATAATATAAAAAGGAAAATAATAAATGAAAGTAACAACCAACTATCTTTAAAAATAATAAAATATTCATTTCACATCTTGTTTTTGGAATGTCAAAAATAACATCTCAACCTCCAGCCTTCATTCCATATCAGCTTTGACACATCAGTTAGAGTAATGTGAGATGTTATTTCTAGCCATTAAATGTCTATGTAGTACTTTTGACACATCGGTTAGAGATGCTCTTTTGGGGAACTTCTAAATCTACAGACTCCTGAGCGATCTTAACCCAAATTGAAAAAAAATAATCGTGAATTCTTGCCTGAGAAGGCAAAATGATATGTGAGCTGAAATGAAGAATCATATGGTGTCCCTAAATTAATACTAAGCATACTAAAAATCATAACGGAAGCATATGAAACTCAGAAGTCAAACAGCAAGAACCAAATGCACTCAAGATTCAAGAGGAAGATGTTTTCTCCTACATGTAGCTATCAAGATTCAGTATAGGTCTCAAGATGAACCAGTTGAACGAGCATACAGAATTCTGGGTTTCCTCCTCTTATACGTAAATGTATAACAAGCATAGAGGCTTTTGGGTTTCCTTCTCTTATATGTTAACACATAGCGATCAAGAGTGCTCATTTTCCTATACTTGAAAAAAAAATGGGATCAAGCTTTGCATTGCACTTGCGCTCCTTTGGCGTGGTAATACAGATACATTCCTCTTGCTCTTGTTTACAGAAAGTTGGAGACTCCAAGTCAATACCACTGGAGCAGCTCACTTCTCCTTCCTTCAACGGCCCATCATCATCTTCACTCTCTTCTTCAATGTCAAGTGCTCTTGGGTTGAGGTTTTTGGGCCTTCTCTTCTTGTATGTTACGTCGTCAAAGGGGAAATGAAATGAATAATAAAATGTGGAAGTCATGAAAAACACCAAAATGCCCTCAGAAGAGAGAGAAAGAAAATAGCCGCCGAGAGAGGAGGGGGGAGGAGAAGAGCAGGTAGTGAATCCATGGACGGTGTCGGGCCAACGGTGGCCGGAAAATGAACTACGACAAGCTCATTTTCGACTGTCAGAAAATCGACCAGTCGCTCGTCGACCATATCCACCGCCTCACCTCACGTGCTCCCCACGTGTTCCCCCGCCGCGGCGTCTTCTTCGCCCACAGGTCTCTCTATCTCTCGTTGTCTTTGGTTTTCAATCATTATAAATTTGACATTTTTAAACAAAAAAAATACAGAAGTGAAGTTGATAGTGGATTGTATGTGAGTGCAGGGACTTGAATGAAATTCTTGGTGCATATGAGTGAGGAGAGAAGTTCTATTTGTACACTGGAAGAGGGCCTTCCTCTGAGGTATTGCATTTGGTTCATCTTATCCCCTTCATGTTCAGTTTGTTAGAAATATGAGTGCTAAATTGCTATAAAATAAATACTGCACATAAAGCAGATTTTTACAAAAGGAGAATTGAATTAAAAGAACCTTAATTGAGTCGAGGCAAGTGTTGGACACTCTGACCTTAAGACGAATTACGCCCCACACTGGTAGTTATGGTTCACTAGCGTTCGCCTCCTAGGATACAACGACTCCCCTCCTTGTGAAAGAAGCACTGCAATTCACAAGGAACTTTGAACCAAATTATGCAGGAACCTCTCTTTATGAAAACTCTAATGCTTTCTATATGTGAAAGTCTGTATGTAGAGAATTAAACTGAATTTTTAAAACTGCATGAAAATTGATCTATTTATAGATGATGAAATACCCTTTCCAAAAAGGTATCCTTATCTGAAAAGGCAAACAATGCATCCCTTGGTTTGAATAGTTCAAACAATGCATCCCTTGGTT